CCTGCCTCTCTGTATGCCTGCCTGCCTTCTTGTCTGCATGCTTCCTTGCCTGCATGCCTCTCTGCCTGCCTACCTGTCTGCCTGCCTGCTTGCCTGTCTCCTTGCCTCTCTGTATACCTGCCAGCCTCCTTGCCTTCCTGCCTACTTGCCTGCCTGAACCAATGCTACTGAACTACGAAGCCTTACTTTCAATTAACAAAATCTTCATTTCAAATAGAATAATTCTTATACAAGGGAAGGGAAGTAGAGGCCATAGTAGAGCAGCTTGAGGTAGAGGGTGAAGGTGTGACTAGCTGCTCTTACCGACGACGGCCCCCCCTTCAGTAATTCACTACCACAGACCCTCAGAGGACGTTAACCTCAGCAGTCGGTGGCCCCTCTGCTGCCCTAGGCTGCTGACCAGGGCAACCCAAGCCCCAGAGCCGCCCCAGTTGCTCAAAAGAATGTGATTGAACCTGCGTCACTATATTTGCCTTCAGTTTTTAATCAGTATCGAACGCTTTGATGGCGTGTGTTTTTATCTAAGCGTGGTTTACTCAATCCACTTTGAATGAAGTATATGTATATACACATCAATGGTTATTTGGAGAGGAAAAATAAAATTGTTGACGAGAGAGCGAGAGTTTTTTCTTGTTTCATTGGAATGCACTCGTAGATGGTCGCCTTGTGGCATATGACACTCGTAGATGGGCGCCTTGTGGCTACGATACTGGGTACCTTGTGCCTTGTACCTGTCAGGTAAGGAGGGAGGTGTGCCTGACATTGATGAAATACGCGGTCTTCAAGCCTACACGGGGGAAGGGTGGCACCGTTGACCGTGACAACATCAGACTTTGTATATAACAGCGGCAGTCTTGAGCTATTCGGAATTTACACGCCTATGATGTGTGGATCAGTGTGACACGGCCAAGTATTTGAGCGTTGATGCTGGGCGATGGAACACCCCGCTCGGACCGCTCCTCCCGTAGGAGGGTGTCGTTGTCTGTGTGGCTCCGACCCCTATTGAGAGGTGCGTTGGTCTCTGCAAGTCTCACCGACCTCTCTCTCAGTCAGTCCAGCTTTGAAGACACGTTGTAATAACAAACTATATTTACACATTTCCTGAGAAATTGAATCGACCCTAAGGAATTCATTATTTATTTTTTAGCACAAATAACCATTGCTGATGAGCCTTTTCAGGGTTGAAATATGCTGTCAAGCGTGAGGCGCGTACAAGACCCAGACGTATACAGGAGTAGATGTCGAGCAGCAGGAGAGAGAGAGAGAGAGAGAGAGAGACAGACAGACAGACAGACAGACAGACAGACAGACAGACAGACAGACAGACAGACAGACAGACAGAGACTCAGTGTGATATCTCTCGCCTGATCTTTAAAACTATCACATTAAAGGTGAAAAAAGCACGTTCAGAAAGTCCCTCTCTCTCTCGATATTTTCACAGTGTAACTACACAACAGCACCACAGTGAGGCACCACAAAAACCCCGTGGCATCAGCTCAGCAAATCACCACCACAACATCAGCACAGTGGAGCGCCACCACATTAGAGCACCATCACCACCAC